TATGTCTATGTGTCTCTATGTATCTCTATGTGTCTCTATGTATCTCTATGAGTCTCTATGTATCTCTATGAGTCTCCATTAGTCTCTATGTATCTCTATGAGTCTCTATGAGTCTCTATGTATCTCTATGCGTCTCTATGTATCTCTATGTATCTCTATGAGTCTCTATGTATCTCTATGAGTCTCTATGTATTTCTATGAGTCTCTATGTGTCTCTATGTATCTCTATGAGTCTCTATGAGTCTCTATGTATCTTTATGTATCTCTATGTATCTCTATGAGTCTCTATGTATCTCTATGTGTCTCTATGTATCTCTATGTATCTCTAAGTATCTCTATGAGTCTCTATGTATCTCTATGAGTCTCTATGTATCTCTATGTGTCTCTATGTATCTATATAAGTCTCTAAGTATGTCTATGAGTCTCTATGAGTCTCTATGTATCTCTATGAGTCTCTATGTATCTCTATGTATCTCTATGTGTCTCTATGAGTCTCTATGTATCTCTATATATCTCTATGAGTCTCTATGTATCTCTATGTATCTCTATGTATCTCTATGAGTCTCTATGTATCTCTATGTGTCTCTATGTATCTCTATGTATCTCTAAGTATCTCTATGAGTCTCGATGTATCTCTATGAGTCTCTATGTATCTCTATGTGTCTCTATGTATCTATATAAGTCTCTAAGTATGTCTATGAGTCTCTATGAGTCTCTATGTATCTCTATGAGTCTCTATGTATCTCTATGTATCTCTATGTGTCTCTATGAGTCTCTATGTATCTCTATATATCTCTATGAGTCTCTATGTATCTCTATGTATCTCTATGTATCTCTATGAGTCTCTATGTATCTCTATATATCTCTATGTATCTCTATGATTCTCTATGAGTCTATATGAGTCTTTATGAGTCTCTATGTATCTCTATGTATCTCTAGGGAGATACTCACAGGAGGTTGAATCTGTCTGTACCCAGCAAGTCACTCATTCTGCACCACCAATCAGACTTGGTGTGAACTTTCTCCACTTCAGACTTGAACTCTGCCACCTACAAGTACAGAGAGACACAGAGACACAGAGAGACACACAGAGAGAGAGACAGAGAGAGACACAGAGACACACAGAGACACACAGAGAGACACACAGAGACACACAGAGAGACACAGAGACACACAGAGACACACAGAGACACACAGAGAGACACACAGAGACACACAGAGACACACAGAGAGAGACACAGAGACACACAGAGACACAGAGACACACAGAGACACAGAAAGAGAGACAGAGAGAGAGACACAGAGAGAGACACAGAGACACAGAGAGAGAGACAGAGAGAGACACAGAGACACGCAGAGACACACAGAGAGAGACACAGAGACACAGACAGAGAGACAGAGACACACAGAGAGAGACACAGAGACACACAGAGAGAGACACAGAGACACAGAAAGAGAGACACAGAGAGACACACAGAGAGAGACACAGAGACACACAGAGAGAGACACAGAGACACAGAAAGAGAGACACAGAGAGACACACAGAGAGAGACACAGAGACACACAGAGAGAGACACAGAGACACACAGAGAGAGACACAGAGAGAGAGACAGAGAGAGAGACACAGAGAGACACAGAGAGAGACACATAAAAGGTTTTTGTATCACTCACTCACCCACCCACTCACCCACTCACCCACCCACTCACCCACCCACTCACTCAGTCACCCCCCCACCCACCCACTCACCCACCCACTCACTCACCCACTCACTCACTCACCCACTCACCCACCCACCCACTCACCCACCCACCCACCCACTCACCCACCCACTCACCCACTCACCCACCCACCCACTCACCCACTCACCCACTCACTCACCCACCCACTCACCCACTCACCCACTCACCCACCCACTCACTCACCCACTCACTCACTCACTCACCCACCCACTCACTCACTCACCCACCCACCCACTCACTTACTCACTCACCCACCCACCCACCCACTCACTCACTCACTCACCCACCCACCCACCCACTCACCCACCCACCCACTCACTCACTCACTCACCCCCCCACTCACCCACTCACTCACTCACCCACTCACTCACTCACTCACCCACCCACTCACTCACTCACTCACCCACCCACTCACCCACCCACCCACTAACCCACCCACCCACTCACCCACCCACTCACCCACCCACTAACCCACCCACCCACTAACCCACCCACTCACTCACTCACTCACCCACTCACTCACCCACCAACTCACTCACCCACTCACCCACTCACTCACCCACCCACCCACCCACTCACCCACTCACTCACTCACCAACCCACCCACCCACTCACTCACCCACTCACTCACCCACTCACTCACTCACTCACTCACCCACTCACCCACTCACCCACTCACTCACCCACTCACTCACTCACTCACCCACTCACCCACTCACCCACCCACCCACTCACCCACCCACCCACTCACCCACCCACTCACCCACCCACTCATTCACCCACCCACTCACTCACCCACTCACCCACTCACCCACCCACCCACTCACTCACCCACTCACCCACCCACTCACCCACTCACTCACCCACTCACCCACTCACTCACCCACTCACCCACCCACCCACTCACGCACCCACACACTCACCCACCCACCCACTCACCCACCCACCCACTCACCCACCCACTCACCCACCCACCCACCCACCCACTCACCCACTAACCCACCCACTCACCCACTCACTCACCCACCCACCCACCCACCCACCCACTCACTTACTCACTCACCCACCCACCCACCCACTCACTCACTCACTCACCCACCCACCCACCCACTCACCCACCCACCCACTCACTCACTCACTCACCCCCCCACTCACCCACTCACTCACTCACCCACTCACTCACTCACTCACCCACCCACTCACTCACCCACTCACCCACCCACTCACCCACTCACCCACTCACCCACCCACCCACTCACCCACCCACTCACCCACCCACTAACCCACCCACCCACTAACCCACCCACTCACTCACTCACTCACCCACTCACTCACCCACCAACTCACTCACCCACTCACCCACTCACTAACCCACCCACCCACCCACTCACCCACTCACTCACTCACCAACCCACCCACCCACTCACTCACCCACTCACTCACCCACTCACTCACTCACTCACCCACTCACCCACTCACCCACTCACTCACCCACTCACTCACTCACTCACCCACTCACCCACTCACCCACCCACCCACTCACCCACCCACCCACTCACCCACCCACTCACCCACCCACTCACTCACCCACCCACTCACTCACCCACTCACCCACTCACCCACCCACCCACCCACTCACCCACTCACCCACCCACTCACCCACTCACTAACCCACTCACCCACTCACTCACCCACTCACCCACCCACCCACTCACCCACCCACCCACTCACCCACCCACCCACTCACCCACCCACCCACTCACCCACCCACTCACCCACCCACCCACCCACTCACCCACTAACCCACCCACTCACCCACTCACTCACCCACCCACCCACCCACCCACTCACCCACCCACCCACTCACTCACCCACTAACCCACTCACTCACCCACCCACCCACTAACCCACCCACCCACTAACCCACTCACTCACCCACTCACTCACTCACTCACCCACCCACTAACCCACTCACTCACTCACTCACCCACCCACTAACCCACTCACTCACTCACTCACCCACTCACTCACTCACCCACCCTTCCACCCACTCACTCACCCACTAACCCACCCACTCACTCACCCACCCACCCACTCACTCACTCACCCACCCACCCACCCACTCACCCACCCACTAACCCACCCACCCACCCACTCACTCACCCACCCACCCACCCACGCCCCCACCCACCCACCCACTCACCCACTCACTCACTCACCCACCCACCCACTCACTCACTCACTCACCCACTCACTCACTCACCCACCCACTAACCCACTCACTCACTCACTCACCCACTCACCCACTCACTCACCCACTCACCCGCCCACTCACTCACCCACTCACTCACCCACCCACTCACCCACTCACCCACTCACCCACCCACTCACCCACTCACCCACCCACTCACCCACCCACCCACCCACTCACCCACCCACTCACCCACCCACCCACCCACTCACCCACTCACTCACTCACTCACTCACCCACCCACTCACTCACTCACCCACTCACTCACCCACTCACTCACTCACCCACTCACTCACTCACCCACTCACTCACCCACTCTCTCACTCACCCACTCACCCACCCACTCACCCACCCACTCACCCACCCACCCACCCACCCACTCACCCACTCACCCACTCACCCACCCACCCACTCACTCACTCACCCACCCACTCACTCACCCACCCACTCACCCACTAACCCACCCACTCATCCACTCACCCACTCACCCACTCACCCACTAACCCACTCACCCACTCACCCACCCACTAACCCACTCACCCACTCACTCACCCACTCACTCACCCACCCACTCACCCACCCACCCACCCACTCACCCACCCTTCCACCCACTCACTCACCCACTAACCCACCCACTCACTCACCCACTAACCCACCCACTCACTCACTCTCCCACCCACTAACCCACTCACTCACTCACTCACCCACTCACTCACTCACTCACCCACCCTTCCACCCACTCACTCACCCACTAACCCACCCACTCACTCACCCACTCACCCACCCACCCACCCACCCACTCACTCACCCACCCACCCACCCACCCACTCACCCACCCACCCACTCACTCACTCACCCACTCACCCACCCACCCACCTCAGTAGCTATGCAGGTATCTTTGTCCTCGCTTGCACAGCAAATGGTAAGATGTTCCAGATAGTGGTGAGCCAGAGCCTCGACCTGGGCCACTCCCGTGGTGGGATAGCGGTGGGAGATTTGCCAAACCACTCTGTAGACACACACAGAGACACACACACAGAGAGACAGTGAGAGACACAGACACACAGAGACACACACAGAGACACACACACAGAGACACACAGAGACACACAGAGACACACAGAGACATAAACACACAGACACACACACACAGAGACACACACAGACACAGAGAGAGAGACACACAGAGACACACAGAGACAGACACAGTGAGACATACAGAGACACACACAGAGACAGACACAGTGAGACACACAGAGACACACAGACACACACAGAGACACACAGAGACTCACACAGACACACACAGACACACACACAGACACACACAGAGACAGTGAGAGACACAGACACACACAGACACACACAGACACACACACAGACACACACAGAGAGACACACACAGAGACAGACAGAGAGACACACAGAGACAGACAGAGAGACACACAGAGACACACAGAGAGACACACACAGAGACAGTGAGAGACACAGACACACAGAGACACACAGAGGCACACACAGAGAGACACACACAGAGACACACACAGACACACACAGACACACACACAGACACACACAGAGACAGTGAGAGACACAGACACACACAGAGACACACAGAGACACACACAGAGACACACACAGAGACAGACACAGTGAGACACACAGAAACACACAGAGACATACACACAGAGACACACAGACACACACAGAGACACACACAGAGACACACACAGAGACACACAGAGACACACACAGAGACACACAGAGACACACACAGAGACAGTGAGAGACACAGACACACACAGAGACACACACAGAGACAGTGAGAGACACACACACAGAGACACACACAGAGACACACAGAGACAGACAGAGACACAGTGACACACACACAGAGACACACACAGAGACACACACAGAGACACACAGAGACACACACAGAGACATACACAGAGACACACACAGAGACACACACACACAGAGACACACACAGAGACACACACAGAGACACACACAGAGACAGTGAGAGACACAGACACACAGAGACACACACAGAGACACACACAGAGACACACAGAGACAGACAGAGAGACACACACAGAGACACACACAGAGACAGTGAGAGAGACACACACAGAGACACACACAGAGACATACACAGAGACACACAGAGACACACACAGAGACACACAGAGACAGACAGAGAGACACACACAGAGACACACAGAGAGACAGTGAGAGACACAGACACACACAGAGACACACATAGACATACAGAGACACACAGAGACACACAGAGACAGACACAGTGAGACACATACAGAGACACACACAGAGACAGTGAGAGACACACACAGGGACAGACACAGTGAGACACACACAGAGACACACAGAGACACACACAGAGACACACAGAGACACACACAGAGACACACAGAGACATACACAGAGACACACAGAGACAGACACAGTGAGACACACAGACACAGAGACACACACACAGAGACACAGAGACACACACACAGAGACACACAGAGACAGACACAGTGAGACACACACACAGAGACACACAGAGAGACAGTGAGAGACACAGACACACAGAGACACACACAGAGAGACACACACAGAGACACACACAGAGACACACAGAGACAGACAGAGAGACACACAGAGACACACAGAGACACACACAGACACACACAGAGACACACAGAGACACACACAGAGACACACAGAGACACACAGAGACAGACACAGTGAGACACACACAGAGACACACAGAGACACACACAGAGACACACAGAGACACACACAGAGACACACACAGAGACACACACAGAGACAGTGAGAGACACAGACAGAGACACACAGAGACACACAGAGAGACACACACAGACACACAGATACACACAGAGACATAAACACACAGACACACACACACAGAGACACACACAGACACAGAGAGAGAGACACACAGAGACACACAGAGACAGACACAGTGAGACATACAGAGACACACACAGAGACAGACACAGTGAGACACACAGAGACACACAGACACACACAGAGACACACAGAGACTCACACAGACACACACAGACACACACACAGACACACACAGAGACAGTGAGAGACACAGACACACACAGACACACACAGACACACACACAGACACACACAGAGAGACACACACAGAGACAGACAGAGAGACACACAGAGACAGACAGAGAGACACACAGAGACACACAGAGAGACACACACAGAGACAGTGAGAGACACAGACACACAGAGACACACAGAGGCACACACAGAGAGACACACACAGAGACACACACAGACACACACAGACACACACACAGACACACACAGAGACAGTGAGAGACACAGACACACACAGAGACACACAGAGACACACACAGAGACACACACAGAGACAGACACAGTGAGACACACAGAAACACACAGAGACATACACACAGAGACACACAGACACACACAGAGACACACACAGAGACACACACAGAGACACACAGAGACACACACAGAGACACACACAGAGACACACAGAGACAGACACACACAGACACACACAGAGACACACACAGAGACACACAGACACACAGAGACAGACACAGTGAGACACACAAAGACACAGAGACACACACAGAGACACACAGAGACACACAGAGAGACACACAGAGACACACAGAGACACACACAGAGACACACAGAGACACACACAGAGACAGTGAGAGACACAGACACACACAGAGACACACACAGAGACAGTGAGAGACACACACACAGAGACACACACAGAGACACACAGAGACAGACAGAGACACAGTGACACACACACAGAGACACACACAGAGACACACACAGAGACACACAGAGACACACACAGAGACATACACAGAGACACACACAGAGACACACACACACAGAGACACACACAGAGACACACACAGAGACACACACAGAGACAGTGAGAGACACAGACACACAGAGACACACACAGAGACACACACAGAGACACACAGAGACAGACAGAGAGACACACACAGAGACACACACAGAGACAGTGAGAGAGACACACACAGAGACACACACAGAGACATACACAGAGACACACAGAGACACACACAGAGACACACAGAGACAGACAGAGAGACACACACAGAGACACACAGAGAGACAGTGAGAGACACAGACACACACAGAGACACACATAGACATACAGAGACACACAGAGACACACAGAGACAGACACAGTGAGACACATACAGAGACACACACAGAGACAGTGAGAGACACACACAGGGACAGACACAGTGAGACACACACAGAGACACACAGAGACACACACAGAGACACACAGAGACATACACAGAGACACACAGAGACAGACACAGTGAGACACACAGACACAGAGACACACACACAGAGACACAGAGACACACACACAGAGACACACAGAGACAGACACAGTGAGACACACACACAGAGACACACAGAGAGACAGTGAGAGACACAGACACACAGAGACACACACAGAGAGACACACACAGAGACACACACAGAGACACACAGAGACAGACAGAGAGACACACAGAGACACACAGAGACACACACAGACACACACAGAGACACACAGAGACACACACAGAGACACACAGAGACACACAGAGACAGACACAGTGAGACACACACAGAGACACACAGAGACACACACAGAGACACACAGAGACACACACAGAGACACACACAGAGACACACAGAGACACACACAGAGACACACACACAGACACACGGAGACACACACAGAGACACACAGAGACACACACAGAGACACACAGAGACACACACAGAGACACACACAGAGACACACACACAGACACACACAGAGACACACACAGACACACACAGAGACACACACAGAGACACACAGAGACACACACACACACAGAGACACACAGAGACACACAGAGACACACAGAGACAGACACAGTGAGACACATACAGAGACACACACAGAGACAGTGAGACACACACACAGAGACACACAGAGACACACACAGAGACACACACACAGACACACACAGAGACACACACAGACACACACAGAGACACACACAGAGACACACAGAGACACAAACAGAGACACACAGAGACACAGTGAGACACACAGAGACACACAGAGACACACAGAGACAGACACAGAGAGACACACATAAGACACACACACACAGACACACACAGAGACACACAAACAGACACACACAGAGCCACACACACAGACACACACACACAGACACACACAGACACACACAGAGACACACAGAGACAGACACAGTGAGACACACACACACAGAGACACACACACAGAGACACACAGAGACAGACAGAGAGACACACACAGAGACACACAGAGACAGACAGAGACACAGAGACACACAGAGACACACACAGAGACACACACAGAGACACACACAGAGACACACAGAGACACACAGAAACACACAGAGACACACACAGAGACACACAGAGACTCACAGAGACACACAGAGACACACAGAGACACACACAGAGACACACAGAGACAGACAGAGACACAAAGACACACAGAGACACACACAGAGACACACACAGAGACACACAGAGACACACAGAGACACACACAGAGACAAACAGAGACAGACAGAGACACAAAGACACACAGAGACACACACAGAGACACACACAGAGACACACAGAGACACACACAGAGACACACAGAAACAGACAGAGACACAAAGACACACAGAGACACACACAGAGACACACACAGAGACAAACACACAGAGACACACACAGAGACACACAGAGACACACAGAGACAGAGACACACACAGAGACACACAGAGACTCACAGAGACACACAGAGACACACAGAGACACACACAGAGACACACAGAGACAGACAGAGACACAAAGACACACAGAGACACACACAGAGACACACACAGA